ACCTCAAGATTTATGGATATGAAAGGAGCAAAAAAAATAAAAATAAATCAAGTCCTTAAAGTAGTACATTTCATAACATTATCTGAACCATTCTTTTTCGAAATTTCAATTGCTCATAGATCTTCTCGATTTGCACTATTTTGGAGCTTTAAATTTCATAATTAGGGACGGAAATAGACTTCATCACAAGGGTTTTAAAGGTGTACATTACTTTAATTCTTTCAGGTTGACCCCTTGTATGGAAAAAACAAAGTTGGTACCTTATATAAACCATTCCTTTACAAATAAGATTTGGCTAAGAGATTAATAGAGTAGCAATCCAAGTGCTTCTCTTTATTCATGATGTGTACGAGCCAAGACCTAAGCTTCAATGGCAAACTTCGACTTGTACTCTTGAAGAAGCTTATAAATGAACTGACTCAAGCCACACACAAGTCAAGTGACCCCTGCAACTGCTTAACAACAGAATCAAGAAACAGCACCAACTGATCCTTGCACACATATTTGCATCTGTAACTGCCTTTTTTGTGCTTCTATTCTCTTATTCTTTTATGATTTCATTATAACTTTTATATTGGATTGGGTTAAGTATGGGTGGCATCAAAACTGCTCAATAGGTAGTGGCACCACCACTCCCAATAAACATTTCCAATTGTGGTGGTTATGCTCTCAGCCTAGTGTTGATGGGACCATATTTTATGGTGAATGTGTATTCCCTTAATCCACCTTGACCCATAAACTAATGCTACCACATTTTTAATGACTTTCCTTTTTTGATAAATTTATTTTCTTAGATGGATCGTCTGATGAAATCTCACATACGGTTCGCTACATGACACCATATGGAGATTATGGACGGATGGGGATTGACCACTAATGACTCACATGTGATAACATAAATGACATCCCAATTGATCAAACAAAGTCATAAGCACTGAATTTCTATCCTGCAATGTTGGTTGTAGCCCTTTTTTGTTTCTGGTGCCCACAAACTTGCACAGATGCATAGATGCCTGCTGATGTCTATGGATATACCATGCACCAAATCGCAATGGTATATAGTTCCAATCGCACTAGAAGGTCTTCAGTTTCCAATTGATTCTGGTTGTTAGTTTCTGAAATATCAATTAAAACTTGCATAATAAGTGCAAACAAGCCAAGTAAAGGGTATCACGACTTGACCATGCCATTAGACTAGAATTATGCTCAATTGAGTAGGATCTCCACATAGCAAGGCTACCCATGTTAGGATATCCCTCAATGTATAATATCCTAGTGCTCCCAAGGCTTTGGGCCTCGCATTGTGCTGATTCTGACGTGGAATCCTGTAAGTAAACTCTTCGATAGTTACTTGATTCTTGCCACCCACAATAAACTCTGAATACTCTCTCATACACACGCACACACACATCACAAATGACAAAATCTTTAGAGGCCGTTTGGATACCTAGAAATATATTGTCTGTGAAATATATTACTGACGTAATACATCACTTGCAAATTGATTGTTACTGTTTGGATAGTATTTAGATGCAACTTGGGAAATATACGGCTACTATTTGACTATGACCGGAAGAAATATGGAAAATACATTACCAGCATTTTATCAACACTTGTTTGTAAACTATCATTTGTTTCTCTTTTTTGTCACTAAATTCCACTGAAATGCGGAATTAAAAGTCATCATCACATCATTCCAAAAAGATTTTTTAATAATAACATCATCACCATTCTAAAAAGATTTTCTAATAATAACTTGTACCATTCTAAAGTCATCATCATACAATTTCTTACTTATTTGCCTGCCTTTGGCACTTACATGAAATCACATGTCTTCTAACATGATTAGACCTTGGTTTTAACATGATAAGTCATTGGAATAATATGATTGTTTTTTATAGAAGTCTTTCAAATGTCTATCTATATAATTTCAAATAAGCAATAAATTTATGATATCAAATTAAAAATCTTTATGGTACAAAGAAGTTTTAGTAAACTAGAAGATTTGGTAATTGCAGTAGAAAATTTTGAGGTATTGGAAGAAACTAAAGAGGTATCTTATTTCAATTGCGTTTTTACTAATATCTTATGACGATTATATTGGGTGAAATTCTTTATTATAATTGTGGTTGTGTAATTTCTTATGTTGGGTGAAATTTTTTATTATAATTGTACTGTGTAATTTCTCATTGATTAGATATGCTAAGGAAAATAGATATGCTAAGGAGAGAGGGAGAATGGAAAAAGTCTAGATGAGAGAAAGGGGCTTAAAAAAACAAGAAAAAAAAGTCTCATGGATATGCTAAGGAAAATGGATATACTAAGGAAAGAGAGAATGGAGAGAGTAAAAGGGTTTAGAAAAAAAAGAAGAAAAAAATCCAAATGAGAGAAAGGGGGTTACAAAAAGAAAAGAAAAAAAAATGCAAGAGAGAGGGAACGGGCTTATCTATGCATAGGAGGGTTGATTGGCATTTTATTAAATTGCGATAAGGAAGAGACACGCACGCGAAAGATTTTTAAAAATTACCCGTCAAGCCCATAATAGATTTTTCACTTTCACCGCGCGCATTGTGTTTCATGATTTTTGAGGAAATCTCGGGTAATCTCTTGCCACCGTAATAGATTTTTCACCTTAAACCGCACGTAATGTGTTTCACGATTTTTGGGGAAATCTCGGGTAATCTATTTCCACTTTTTTTTACCAAACGGTGTAAATGTCATATTTCCTCGTAATCGATTGTCATGTAATAGATTTCCAAGTACCCAAATGGCCCCTTAAAAGTATACCACACTTCATACCATGTAATGACTTAACATGGCCATCAACTTGTGCAAGATTTATTAATCTTAGTACATGAATTCATGCGTACAGCCATCTATTCACCAAGTAGGTATACAAATGGGTTGTGCATTTAAGATGCAGTGCTTAAATGTTAATAGATACAAGTAATTGAAAAAATAGTTTGTCTGTTGATATATACATTCATTGAGCTTGTATTTTTTCTCTCTTTTCTAAAGGTGCTGGTATGTGCCTACTGCTGCAGCAACCAGAACATCCCAGAACAGTATCAAACCAGTCCACACATGTGAGAAGCTACGAATTGGATCAAAGTAGTGATGTCCTCCTGACAATAGGCGGTTACAAAGCCCCAAGATAGACATTAGAGCTCTTCTATTCTAACAAGCCATTAAAAAACAGAGACTGCGAGGGAGATCAAGCATTGGTGGCCCCCTATACGCAAAAGCCAAGTCACCAGCTAAACAAGTAGTTGACATCTGGTAAAAATCAATCTTCCAGCCATATGTAAACACCCAACATAGACCCTTTCACAATTCCGAAACGAGATGAAACTAGGGGGGGGGGGTGGTCCTCAAGATATGCAAAGGGAGGTATTCCCACTAAAAGATCAAGGGGTTTGTATAATTGGGCAACACTGAATTGTTAGACCAAAGTGGGAAGAAGAGCTGACCAAAATCCTGGTCCAAAAGGCTCGAAATGAGGTGAAAATAAGTGGAAATTTAATCCCTAGTGTCCTCAACCTACCCTCCAAACTTCAAGGCTTTCCGACATCATTTAATCCCATTTCCAACATTTCAAAATCAAGGGCCACTAATCCTACCAGTAGTATTGTTCATACAACCAATGTGTAGAAAAGGGGTCCAATTACAAGATTCAAACAGTCTAGGATTTAAGGTTAAACTCTGTGGGACTTTAATCTAAGCCATCCCAAGATCACTCTCAAATTTCTGATCAGCATTTGTCCCACTTTTTAAAGGCGACAAGATCAAAATCATTATTTCCATTGATGACTGAAGCAGTATTCCCACCGACAGTCAGAAATGGGGCTATAAACAGCACACAGGCTGTAGTGATCCTCGGGACTTGTTTTGCTGATTTCGCCTAAACCCCATGGTGGATTGAGCTAACATTTGGAGGAAATGTTCTTGACTCATCCGCCGACAAACTCATATATATATTGAAGGGGCTTATTTCAAGATAAAATACCCGATTGGAGAACAAATTAAAAGGTCACAAAGGGTCTACTGCCTGCATCAAGTCGCATGACCTCTATGCCTTGATCGCTCTCTCTCAAATTACAAGGTGTTTTGGGGTGAAATTTGGCAGATAAAATCGTTATCAATGCCCTAGAAGCCCATATTACCCTAGACATCATTTACGAACAGATTTGAGAGTGGATCAAAGCCCAAATTAGGGTTAAAACAAGAACTACTGCAGAATGACCTTGGATCAAGATCCATAACTCCAAGGATACGAGGAGTTTATGGATGACATTTAGTTCAAAAGATTCTTAACTCAATTTCCCATTAATCAATGGAAAAAATTTGGTCCAAAACATACCAAATTGGCCAAAATAAATGGCCAAACAGATGGCGAAGTTGGACCACAAATTTCAAGAGAGAAACCTTGATATTTCCACTCCAAACGTATAACTAACTTGCCCCAAAAATCCAAAATGTAGTAAAAACCCTAACTTCACCACCAAGGCCTAAATACCCATGCCTGCGCCATTTCAAGAACTCTTGGGCTATTGATAATATGGGTGAACTTTGCTATTACCTTGAGAGCCCTAGTGAGAGTCTAATGAGAGAAAGACAGTCCTAAAGTGAGAGTGCTGGAATTGCCTTAAAAAGCTTCAATCTAAGTAGAGGACACTTGATTTCCATCCTTGGTTGTGAGAATCTAAACCTAAGGGGGTGAATGACTAAAATCACCCGTGAATGGCACTATAATCCACATGCATTTCAACACCTAAAAACTCTATTCACAATACATCAAAATACGAAACCCAACAAGTTCCCAAACTGAATTCTTTCACATTGATTTCATTTCTTCAGAATGAGCTTCAAAAAAATCAATAGGTCATCAAGAATAACTTTATCAATTTCCTTGCAAAATTCTTCTTCGAAATAAGTGACATAAGCAGAACATTAATAAATGTTGATCTTAATTAAAGTCGATTGTAATATCTTTTGAGAGATGTGACGTTCAACTATTCCCATAGCACTAGATGACAAATACATTCGTTCAGACAGTCCTATTGGAGCAAATTCCATCCAATACAGTTGCGAACATTCCACAATTTCCACAGGGACAGATGAACATATGTTGATTCAGACAGGCCTATTGGAGCAGATTCTATCCACTATCTTCATGAAGGCAAATCCATTTTCTCTCACTAGTTCCACCAAAAAGTTATCATCCACCAATTTTGATATCTCTACTCTTAAAGATCGCTTGATTTAATGAATCGCAGATTTGAGAGCCCTTGAATCTATTACAATATCCATGAAATCACAGTCAACAATGTCATTAATTTGTAGAGCCTAAAAGGAAAAGAGAATAATTTTCTGAAGGTATAGTATTGTAACATGATAATAGATTTGTCAGGTTGGAACACATAAGAGTTACAATATTATTCATGGGTGATTATGTTATGTCCTTGATAAGAAAGAATATGCGGAAAGAGACTCAGTCTAAAATTTGGGAAGTGCATATGTTACATATCTTACCTCCCATCGCCTTGAACATTTTTTTTATTTCGAGGAAATGCTCAGTTTCCGAGAGGATTTGAACAATGTCTCTAAGCTTCAGCAATAAATGTGTGTATATATCTGGCCCAAAGCCCATTATACGGTCCCAAACCTGGAGAAAGGAGGAGGGTTGTGTTAGGTTGGCAGCTAGCCTAAAATGTTTGCAACATCTATTTCATAAATCCTGATCCCATGTTGTATGCTCATGCTAGGGTGTTCCCTAGAAGGGATACACCACAACGATGCCCAATTGCGGTGATAAGTAGGCAAGGGTTCCCATGCCATTTTGGTGAGCATGGATAAAGATGCTAGTCCAAGAGCATGATTCATCTAGCCACATGGAATGTAGGAACCCTAACAAGTAAGAGTGGAGTTAGTAGATACAATGAGACAAAAGAAAGCTAACATAGTTTACTTAAAGATAACTAAGTGGAAAGGGACAAAAGCTAAGAATATTGATAGGTATAAACTTTTGTATATGCAAAAGGATAATAATAGAAATGGCGTAGGCATTAATAGTAGATGAAGCTATTAAATGATAAAGTAGTAGATGTTACAAGCGTAGGTGATAGACTCCTATTACTTAAAAGTGTGCTAAGGATGAGATAATTAATGTAATTAGTACTTATGTGCCATAGGTAGGACTAAAAAATAGAATTAATAGATAATTATGGGAGGACATGGGTGGCTAGTCCCAATAATACCAAATGGAGAGAGAACATGTTTAGGAGAGGACTTAAATGGTTATGCCGGAAAAGATAGTAGAAGATATGAAAGGGTACATGGAGAAGTGGAGATGTGCTTTCGTAGTCTTATGTGATCGTCACATACTAATGAAATTTAAAGAGAAATTGTATGGATGGCTGTAAGACCAGCCATGCTTTATGGGATAGAACGTTAGGCAATCAAGAAACAACATATTCATAGAATGAGTACAACTGAGATGATGACATTGACATAGATAGGAGACAAGACAAGAAAGATTAGAATTCGGAACGAGTACATCCGAGGGAACTTAGGGATGGCTCCAATAGGGAATGATATAAGGGAAAGAAGACTTAGGTGGTCAGCCATGTGCAATATCGACCTAGAACAACACTAGTTAGGAAAGGCGATTTGATTCGAATATAAAGCTAACGGCTCAAAAAAGGACATGGATGGAAGAAGTGAGAAGAGATAGACTGACTTGTGGCAGACTGAAGGTATGACCCTTGATAAGCCGAAATGGCGGAAGTGGATTCATGTTGCCGATCCTTAATACACACACGTACACACACACATGCATACAAACATATATCTATATATATATATATATATATATATATATATATATATATATAGTACGTAGTATACGACCTACTACGTACTTATAGTAGACGACCCGAACCGACCAGTATAGACTACGTGGTACTATCGTACGTACG